CGATTGAGAAGTCTTTTAGCTATTTATTTGTTTCGAAGACTTGAGTATTTCATTAAAGAATATCTCGCCACTCCTTGACGAGTAGCTGTCAAATACTGCCATTTTTTGTCGTCACGTGACCGGCCAGGACCAGGGCTTCCTCGTGTCTCGCCTCGTCCTCACACTGAAGCCCTGGGAACGAGGTTCGGTGCTTACACATTTTGCTATATCTTTGGATATGGCCTTTTTTTGCCCACTGAATCCCATGGCATTTCCGGTCGCTGAAAATTTGACAATATTTAGGTAAATTGAAAAGTCTGTTACAGGCACTACAAAACTCCGATTTACGCTATTTCGTTATATGTTGTGAAATGCATATCAATCGTGACTATGCGTGGAGTTCATTGTGTTTTGTCAACATTTTAATGTGAGATAAATCTTTTAAATACAACCTAAAACTCGCTTCACCAACTAAGCCAAAAACATTCCGTTCTTTAATGGCAATATCTCAAAAGTTAGAAGCAGTGAAAAAACTAATATTACGAATGTCACCGAACTGTGGAATCGCATCAAAAATTCGTATATCGGCCACTCCCACAAACGTCTACGACCGCGCCTACATAGTTTTGCATGTTTACAATTCTAATTTTGAACAGCCAATCAGGTTCTTGGTAATTGGCTGTTTAAAATTAGAATTGTAAACGTGCAACAATATGTAGGCGCGGTCGTAGACGTTTGTGGGAGTGGTCGATATACGAATTTTTGATGCGATTCCACAGTTCGGTGACTTTCGTAATATACGCCCACTAACGTTTTGCTTGTATGCCATGTTGCGGTATTTTCCAGTATTTTGTGCGACAGCCCTTGAAACATTGCCAAATTATGAAATTTACACGGAATTTTGACATTTTCTTGTTATGTGATAAAAACATTTTATACCTAAGCACATGGTTATAGAAATCTACATACATCCCAGCAAATGTTTGTCTGACCATTGTAATGTTGTTAACAAAATCTGTAATTGAACTGGTTCGTAAAATGTCGTATTAAAATAGGCGAAATTAGCATTGTTCTTCATTGTTTTGTCATGATAAGGCGGAGACAATCAGGGCTATTTTAATCTTGTCTTGGAATGTTAAATACATTAATGCAAATAGCCTACATGTTATATGTTCGCTTATAAATGCTTAAATAAAATACGGGGTTAAAGAGTATGTTCACACGATATCGGTTACGAAACATTATATGACGTTTAAAACATATTTTAAAGAAAAATAGGTCATCCGTCCGTCCGTCTATCCGTCCATCCGTCCGTCCGTATCAGCGTTTTACCCTAACGTATACATGTACAATAAAAAAGTCAGAGATTACTGACCAAGTGGTTAGCGATATTTAACAATTATTCGCCGAAGGCGAAGGCGAAGTGATTAATTATCGGGGAATATTTATAATCACCCAGCCTGAAGCGAATATTTTAGTATTTTTACACAAGTCTTTTGTGTTTTCTTGGGACTGAGTTTATTTTAATTTCGCTTATATATTTGTTTATCAGTATTCAGGAACTTCCACAAAACGGCTAGCCCCATTCTGCACCTGTAGGTGAATATAACAGCTTATAATGCGCCTAAAAATTTGACCAATCAACTTGTATAAGATTTGTTATATTCACTTGTGTGCAAAAATACTAAAAGTACTTATTTGGTTTTGAATATCTTGGAATGCATTGTTTTCTAATATTTCGTCAAATAAGGAAGATCTGGAACAATAAACAGTCTTATTTTGATTTTCTAGGCAGATGAAGTTTCGGAGTCATGTGAACGTGTCAAGCTTCGTATGAAAACAACACACAACCCATTCTATACTGTCACTGTTTCGTAACCGATATCGTGTGAACATATTCTTTAACCCGGTATTTTATTTAAGCATTTATAAGCGAACATATAACATGTAGATTGTATTTCTTATTTACATTTTGCATCTCTCTCCTCCGCAGAGGCTTACATGAAGTTTCTAGTGAGGGAAAAGTGAGCGCGCAAGGAGTGATGGGAAGAGCTAAATAAAGGAAGCCTCTGCGAGTTAATGCATCAATATGGCGTCGTATATAATCGTTTGTAGCGAAGTTCGATCAACCATCGGGGGGTGTTAAAACATGTTTTCGATCAATCAATCAATCAATCAATCTTTATTTACCCACGATACTATTTCACAAAGACAAAAACTAAAATATTTACAAGATGTGATCTTCCAATGGGCCGTGCTATATATGTATGAATAATTACAAGCAATTATAAAAATATTTTATTAATTAGCTAATACAATAAAATCGAAGAGAAAAAGAAAAAAAGATAAATTGATTATCAAGAATTATTACCACTATTTGACACTAGAGCCCTTTTGAAGGTTGACAATGAACCCATATTTTTTATATTAGGTAATAAATCATTCCAAGCTACAGCTCCTCTGTACGAGAATGATTTTTTACAAAAGTTGGTACTTGGCCTCGAGAATGCAAAGTTAAATTCAGCCTGCCTAGTTTGATGATTATGAAGTGTACTGGTTTTCGTGAATACATCAATTAGGTAATCAGGCACCATATTATTATTTACCTGATACATAGTAGTACATAATTGATTATTTCTTCTGAGACTTAAATTTGGTAAATCTAATTCTTTAAGTATATCGGCTGATCTAAATTCATACCCACGCTTTGTAATGATACGTGCTGCTCTATTTTGTGAACGTTGTAATTGGTTTTGAAGGGTAATTCCAAGACAACCCCATACTTGCGAGCAGTAATCAAAGTGTGGTTGAATTAAGGTTTTGTAAACTGTTACTAGAGTCCTTACATCAACAAAATCTCTTAATCGTCTAAGGACGTAAAGACCCTTGTTCACTTTCTTTGTAATTAATCTGTTTGAGAATTAAGGTCTCATCTACCATCATAGATCATACCCAGTGATTTAGTAACGGTTACTCGTTGAATAGCATACCTGGGGTGAATTCAATATCAATATCTTCTTCTGTCCATTTGCATCGAAAAATATTGAGAAATTGCAAACGAATATTAATGGTACGAGCTATCTGATTATAAATATCCTCTTAATTGCAACATTTCTTTATAAAAATGACTCTATTGAACTTCGATACTCAGATTATGAAGATTCATTTCAATTTCTTTCACATTTCCGTCGATTTCAAGTTTAAAAAAAGGTCAAACAACTAGTTTGAGGATCTTCCCGCCACAGGACGTCAACATTTTGAGGGATAAGAGTGGCGTCATTTTTGGAACATTTGTCGAATAACATTTGTCGCATAACATTTGTCGCATAACATTTGTCGCGTGATCTTTTGGAATTTTGAGATGGCGGCAGCAACTATTTGTCGCATAAACATTTGTCGCGTAACGTTTATTGTAAAAAATATGATCCTTGTAAGCGCTACAATACCAGTTCGAACTGGATTTCGTAATATACTGTCCGTATAAATTGAGGTCTTCGAGTATACAAGAGCGTAGTGTTTACACAGCTTTCGCAGAGGAAAAAAATATTTATTTTAAATTGGAAAGTTTATATGATATGTTTGCAGAAATTTCTATTTGATTTTTGGGGGAATTTGAGAGGAAATAGGCTTCCAGGCTATTTTGAACTATCTAGAGTATTGGAGTGAGGATCATTGTCCATAAGGGCACTTATACGTGTAGTTTAAAGTTGTAAATTGTTTTCAGAACAATATAAATGTCTTTAATAGTTCATTTAATACTTTGCTATAAAAATGTGTTTATATGTGTCTAGTTTTCAGCCAAGAAAACGTTTGGCATTCCGACCTTCCATTAAAGAGTGGTTTTAATTCGGAAAGCAGGTAGCATAACACCAAAAACGTAGTAAAAAATAAAAATTTATTGAGCTAAAAGACCTATTACTCGTCAATATCATCAAAAGTCTGTATACACAGCAAGAGATTTGTATCTATTAGGTCATAGACGCTTGATGCAATGATTGTGGGACATTACGAATGAGCCTATACTCATGCGCATTGTGCAAATGATTTTAGAGCGAAATAACGTTGCTTGCATAAATTAGGGTTCCCTCGGGGTATGCGTCTTCGCATTTTGCTCATGCGTCTTCGCATTGAGTTCGCATTTTGCTCATGCGTCTTCGCATTGTTCGCATTTTGCTTCGCATTTTGTTTCCCATTCTTCGCATTTTGCTTCCCATTCTTCGCATTTTGCTTCGCATTCTTCGCATTAAGGCCCGATTAGGCCCGATATATAGAACTGAAAAGAAGGTATAGCTTTTGCGCAAATGAAAGAAAGCCTTATCAACAGTGGTCTAGATGAGGAATCCGCTAAGGACAAAGCTTACTCTAATCTTCTACCTAAACTCCAGAAGCAACTGGAAAATATTTATATGGAGCGTCTCGAGTGGATGACACAACTAAAGAAAGATCCAGTACATAAGAAAATAATGCACACAAAAGATGAGCTTGTGAAAAACGATGATTTTGATCCAGAAGAAGCCATGGAAGCCGCTGTTGATAACAGAAAGTTCCTTATACGAATGCTTTTAAAGGGTTACAATTTTGATGAAGAGAATGATGATGATGAAAAGAATGATGATGATTAGGCTCGATAAATAGGTCAAATATAGGATTGTAGTCAAGTTAGCACGTAAAACATACCCTTATTAAGGCACAGCATTTAAACTTCGAGTCTTCAATAAATTGATTTTCCTGTCATTTTTACATGGGTACAAATCAAAATGGCAAAAACACACGAAAATGTATACATACGTGTACTAATCAATTTTCTGCAGAGGCTTCCCGAACGAAAAATGTACACCCAACCATCGGGCCTTATGAGCAGATGAGCATGTGCTCATGAGCAGTTATGAGCATGTGCTCATACGCTCATGTAAGATGAGCATATGAGCATGTGCTCATGAGCAGTTATGAGCATGTGCTCATACGCTCATCGCACAAACACGTGGACAGTGTAGAAGCCGGACAGCATGTTTAATTATGTAAAATTGTTATACTTTAATAATAATAAATGGTTTATAACGTTAATCTGTGTGTTAATTTATGCAAACAAATCGGTGTCCTAGCAACATTATTTCGTTCCAAAAATCAGTACGATTTCGCATTCGTTAAACCCCCTTTATCCTTCTATCGGGCCTAATCGGGCCTTAATGCGAAGAATGCGAAGCAAAATGCGAAGAATGTGAAGCAAAATGCGAAGAATGGGAAACAAAATGCGAAGCAAAATGCGAAGAATGCGAAAACGCATAAGCAAAATGCGAACTCAATGCGAAGACGCATGAGCAAAATGCGAAGACGCATTCCCCGAGGGAACCCTAATTTATGCAAGCAAAACAGTATCGTAGCAACGTTATTTCGCTCTAAAATCATTTGCACAATGCGCATGTGTATAAGCTCATTCGTAATGTCCCACAATCATTGCATCAAGCGTCTATGACGTACATAGATACAAATCTCTTGCTGTGTATAGAAACTTTTGATGATATTGACGAGTAATAGGTCTTTTAGCTCAATAAATTTTTATTTTTTACTACGTTTTTGGTGTTATGCTACCTGCTTTTGGAATTAAAACCACTCTTTAATGGAAGGTCGGAATGCCAAACGTTTTCTTGACTGAAAACTAGACACATATAAACACATTTTTATAGCAAAGTATTAAATGAACTATTAAAGATATTTATATTGTTCCTAAAAAACAATTTACAACTTTAA